AATTCCAATGGTCTCAGAAAGCATATTGAGCTCCTTGGGTTCAAATCCTAGCTCTACCACTTATGAGCTGGGTGACTGTGGGCAAGTTATCTATGCTTTGGTTTCTTCACATATAAAATATGTTTAATGACAAGGACCTTGACGAGCTGCTTGACAGCTAGATAAGGTCAGTCAAACGCTCAGCACAGTAGACGTAGAGGAGGGGGCATGTGTAGGAGCTATTGTCATCATATCCACTCTCTTTACACTTGACCATGTCTTTGGGGCTGGTTACCTGACAAGGCGGCCGATAAGGATCCATTGGCTTCATTCTTTCCCAGCCATCAAGTTCGGCAGAACCTCTTGCAGACGTCATGGCATGGGCAAGACGAACCCAGTGTCCACAGGGCCCGGAAGAGAAAGCAAGTGGCCACTGTGTGTGTAGCACCTCTTGTCACGGCCTGTGGTTGTGTGATGTCTTCCTTTTAATGTTATCTTCACACCAACCCTATAGGGTAGCTGCTCTCCCCTTTGTTTTAGAATTAAGGAAACTGGGGCTCAAAGAGGTAGAACACTTCGCCCGAGGTCACTCGGGGCAGCTGAGCTCCAGGCCCCTGTTCCGCCATCCTCCGCCCAGTACGGGGCACAGGGGCCTGGACGGGAAGAGCCTGGGCTGCGTCCCCAGGCCGAAGCTTCCTAGCGGAGCCTGATTCCTGGCTGGGAGACCAGCCTGACACCGAGGTGCGTCTTCCCGGGACTGGACGGCAGGAGGCTTTCCCACGAGCAGCTCCGTGCGTGGTGAGCGCCCGCTGCACATTCACTCCTATTATTAGTGCAGCAGAGCCAGGTGCAAACCAGATGCCCCAGAAGGGACGACACTGTCATTAGCCACCATCTCCTGGAAATGTCCCCATGTCAGTCTGTCCACTTGCCTGACATGTGGGACTCAAGACAGTACTTTAGAAAATGACTCACTGCTGGTGTTCTGTCCCACTCACCCCGTGTCCTGTCAGCCTGCCCTCAGCCCCTGCCCCTCGCTAAGCTCTGCCTCAGGAGTGGGCCAGCGGCCACACAGGCTGACTGGACCGGAGGTGGACACCTTCCCCCAGCTGTGTGCGGCTCCCTCCTCTCCTTGTCTCCCTCCCCTCCTCCTGGTCTCCGCTCAAATGTCACCTGCCAGTGGTGCCTTCCCTGAGGCCCCTTTGAAAGGGGCACCCCACCTCCACACTCTCTGAACCTCCCCTGCCTGGCCTCCCTCTCTGCATTTTCACCTCGCAGCCTGCTGTATATTTTCCTTCTTCAGCATATTTACTGCCCACCTCCCTCCACAGAGCGCTCACTCCTAAGGGCAGGGCATTGAATGTTGTCTGTTTGGTTCACAGACGTATTCCCAATTGTTCTCAACAGTGGGTGACCCTACCCCGCCAGGTGCCATTGGGAGACATTTCTGGTTGTCACAGTGGGAGGAGGGGTGTTGCTGACATCCTACAGTGCACAGGACAGCCCTCCCCCAAAGAGCGATTGGGCCCCAAATGCCAACAGTGCCGCAGCTGAGCACCCTGCACTCACAACAGCAGTTGGCATGTATACAGCAGGTGCTCAGAAATGATTGTGAGGGAAGAATGAAGAACTCATTGCTATTCTGAAGAATGGATATAGTTGAGAATAACCTTAAAGAAGGGGCTACATTTGGGAGTTCATGGCCAACAGGTCATATGGGTAACCCGTAACTCTCCCCCTCTGGGCTGAGCGTGCCCTCAGCAGCAGCCAGTGCTGGTTGCAAACCGCTCATTGCTGGGCGGTCACAAGCCAGGACCAGCCCATGGTGCAGGTCTCCTTAGAGCCCGAGGGACGTCCCCCCAACCCTGGGCAGGGACTGTCAATTCTCACCCCTAACACCCCCCCAACACTTGCCCCCACACTGGGAAATTCCAGACTGGGTGCCCAGCTGGGCAGGGAACCACCTGCACAGTCTTTTAGGGTGACCCCAGCTGCCTCTCTCCGCCCAGGGAGCCCACGGGGCTCGGCGAACTCTGTTGTCTTGGAGAAAGGGTGATGGAGGCTGTGGGGATGCTCAGGAAGGCACAGGTGTTGGAGCCTCCCCGGCGCAGCTCAGCCCAGGGCTTTTGCTGACCTAACCAATCACCGCTGACAGTTTTAAACAGCCAGCTGACTAGCCCAGGCTCTGCAGATGCAGAGCGCACCACCTATGGAATACACTAACCACCACGTGGCCACGCTGTAAGGGGAGGGGAGAGCAGCGGGCTCTATCACTTCCAGAAACAGCACAGCCATAGGACTGGAAGCCTCTGGAAGCTTCTATCTAACACCTGCGTCCCCAGCAGGCTGCCCCGCCCGCATCCCCACCAGGAATTCTCACTGGAGGTACATAGCTTTCCCTGCCTGCTGCTGGCCGCACCCCCCAGGGGCCTCCTTGGGCTCACAGCTGGGCCTTTCTCTGCAAATGCTGAATCTGGGAAAATGCCACCTTCTCTCTCTTCCTCTCCCCACCTTGCCTTTTCTCCCTTCTCTCTTCTGCCTTCTGCCTCTCCCCTCAGAGGTCCTGAAAGCTTTGAAACAAGTCACTAATGCTAAGGTTTAGTAGCTGACATTTCCAGGTACAAGGCCAGAGGTCAAAGGAACAAGTCTCTAACAGTGGAATATTAGGCAGCAGACAGCCAGGTTTTGGAGGACAGGACGATATTTGGTGGGCTGGGGTTTTCCTGGTGCTCCTGAAGTCACAGGCAGCTTGGCCCCACTTTGGCCAGGGGGACAGGCTGACCCCAAACCCAGGATGAAATAAAAGAGCAGGCTGGTGCCCAGTGGCCGCCTGGGCTGAGTGGGGTGGGCACAGAAGGACAGCGAGGGCTGGAAGCCCGAGGGGAAACGCCAACCCCCCCAGGGTAGGGCTTGGCAGAGACTGGGGTCTGAGTCTTCCGTCCTCTCTTCCTGGGAGGCCAAGCTTGGTCTGTGAGCTGCCCTGACCCAAAAATTTACACCAGTCCTCCAGCTCTGAGGGTGGCAGGAGGGCTCCTAGGCTCATGGCCACCTCCCTCAAGTTCAATGTCTGAGAGTCAGGCTGGGGACTACAGGAGGTGGAGACAACCGGCCCTAGACACCTCCAGGAGCTGACATGGACATCTGTGTCCTTGCTGTGCACAACACCCGGCCCCATGCTACAGATGAGGAAACGGAGCCTCTGGGTCAGGAGCCCATCTGGGGCTGGAGCCTGTGGTTTCCACCCCCACCTGAGGCCTGCCTCCTCCAGCCAGCAGTGAATAATTCTGCAAACCTCTTCCCTCTGCGTTCCCCTCTCCCATCTCAGCCCCAACTGACCAAACCTCTACTCACTCACTACCTGAGAATGGCTGACTCTCACAAGCTGGCTGCCTGCTGGCTGGGCCGTGGCTGCAGCCCCCCAGGATGCCGGGTCCTCACACACTGGACCTGTGAGGACAGGGCAGCCTGGCTCCTCCCTGCCCCTTGGGATATCCACACCTCCCACACGTGAGAGGGAGGCACCCTAGGGACCTGGCCCTGACACGGGACGCCCCCAGCTACCTCCGGCTGCCAAGTTAGCAGAAAAGTGAGGTGCAGCTGGGGCATCGCAGGCAGACTCGGGCAGGCAGGCTGGCTGTGGTGTCAGCAGAACAATGCAGCCACCCAAGGTGCCTGTGGTCCTGAGAGGTCCTAAAACCGGGACATCAAATCCAGGCCAGGCACCCCTCGCCTGCCTCCAGTGCAATCTGGGATCTTAATTCATCACCCCCCAGGGTTCATGGAGAAGAGGGAGTGAGCCTGAGGTGGCTGGGAGGGGGTCCCATGTTGGGCTCCCCGGGATGGTGTGGAGCCAGCACCGTGACAGCCAGAGCGTCGCATCCACTTGGGGATTCTGTCCTGAGACCTGCTCTCATCCGGTCACTGACAATCCAGTGCAAAGTGGGTGACTGCCTGTCCTCCTCTGAACAAGAGCTTCTTCAGCCACAAAAGGGGACACCATTGTGCCTGGCAGGTTCTAGGGGGCAGATGAGAGCACGTGGCTACACCCAGCTCTGTGAGGGGCGCCCTGTCTGCATCAGCGAGGCTCAGAACAGGAGCCTCTTTCCTTCCCAGCCAGGTCCCCGGATTCTCTGTTAAGTGTCTTTCAGTCCCAGGAAGTGGCACTTCGATCATCAATCCCAGGAAGTGATCATTTGACTTCACTTACAAAATTGTACTAAACTGCATTTTCATCAATGGCCAAATTAGGATGACAGCAAAGAGACAAACCAAGTAATTAAAATGAGGGGACTTTGGGGTGGCCGGAAAAATTTGGGGGTGCATCTGCCTGGGGATTCCCCTTGGCCACCACCTCCTTCTCTCCCGCGTGTCCATCTCTGCTCCGTGGCGTTGGGCGGGACGCTTCCTCTGACCCAGCCAGACCCAGGCACCCTCCCTGTGCCGCTGGGCATGCGGGGAGAGTCCTGGGGGCAGGCGGAGCAGCGGCGGGGAGATCGGACAGCTGGGGAAGTGAGACCACCCGGCAGGCAGGCTGTGATAAGTGGGATATTCGACGCGCGTGGACAGCCCGGCTCTACAGGTGGCGGTGGGCTTGCCCTCTGCATGATCCGGATAATTCCTACCAAGCATTCAAGTCCGCCCAGGGAGTCTGCCCTCAGCTTCGGAGCGTGCGGAGCGGGCACAAGACCTGCCCAGCGGCGCTGGCAAAGAGGAGGCATCACCACGTCCCCGCACATCCCGGGGAGGGAGACGCACACACACACACACACACACACACACACACACACGCTCACACACTCGCGCTTCCCGCCACGCCGCCCCCGCCTTCACCGCGCCCGGCCAGGAGCGCGCGCGGGGGGGCGGGGGCAAGCCGGCCCCCGCCCCGGCTGCGTGGTAACGGGGTGCGGGGGGGTGGGGGTTGAGGGCTGGCCCGGAGCCGTGGAAGCGGCTCCCGCGGGAGGTCGTACCCCACCGCCCCCAGGCTGGGAGAGCCGGTGTCTCCCGGTTTTCCCGGCTCTTACCTCGCTGGAGCCGCAGCGACCCCGATTCTGGTGCAACGCTCCTCGCCGGCTTCGCCTGTCGGGCGGTAGGATGCGCGCGAGGTTCCCCTGGCGCCGATCTCCTGTCGTCCCGCCGAGCCGCTCCGCGACCGCGACCGTGACCGTGGCTGCCGCCGCCGCCGCCGCCGCTGGAGCCGCGAACTCGGAGACTGAGGGTGGGCCGGGGGCGGGGCCGGGGGCGGGGCCTCCCCGCCTCCGCTCTGCGAGCTCCCGCGGGCTTTGGGACCCTGCGGACGCTGGGTTCCTCCCAGGATCTGAGCGCCTCTCGGGGAAACACCTTCGTGGGGTGTGCAGGTGGAGAGCTGGAGGCTGGGGTAGGGAGGAGAGACAGCATAGGGCTTGGCTGAGACCCCAGAGCCCTGGGTCAGGCTTCCCTTCAAATTCCAGCTGTTACTGCTCCTGCTGCTCAACGAGAATAACCACAACATGGAACCTAGTATTCATTAATCACTTACTGTGCACTAGGCACTGTTCAAGGCGCTTTGTGTGTATTAAGTCATTTGACCACCACATCAATCCTATTTTACAGATGGGAACACGGAGGCACAGAGCAATGACTGGATGTGCCCCAGGACGCACAGCTGGAAAAAGCCAGAGCCAGGATTGCAGCTCAGGTCTCTTGTGGCTCAGGATCCGGGCGTCAAAGCCTCACCGTGCTTTCTGTCTGTGTGGGGTTAAGCAGATTACTCCTTAAAAGCAGAAGGCCTGGCACATAGTAGGTGTTTCGTTATATTTGTTGAGTGAATGAATAAAGCTGTTAAGGGAGGAACCACCAAAAAAAGAAAGAAAAAAGAAAAGAAAAGGAAAAAACAGTGGTGAAGCTGGATCAGTGATATGAAGGTGAAAAATGGGTATAGCAGCCAGGAGACGTATCTTCTTCCAGGTCCGCATTTAATATTCCCAGCAAAGGTCAGAGACGCTGCCCTGGGATCCACGCCTTGCAGGATCATCTCTGCTGGGCAGCAGCCATGTCCTCAGACAACTGCAGAGTGTGTCTGGGGGTCAGCGGACTGCCTGAGGGTGGGTTTGAGGGCAGGGGTGGAGGGGGCAGTGGGTGTCCACCCTCGTGGGCTGTTTGAGGGATGTTAGAATGTGCTCCTGCTCCCCAGGTCCTCTTTGATCTGTGTGATGCTGGCCACGTTGCAATGTCCATGGTGAAGCAACAGACCCCTTACCTGCAGAAGGCACCCTTTAAAAAGAAAATAGTTTCCAGGGGTGCTCGCAGCCTCCCCTCTGTCATTCTGTGGGGGGAAGGTGGGGAGGTCTCACGAGGTGGGTGGTTGAGAGAAAAAGAGCTGGGATTCAACATGATTCTGCTTCTAACTTACTGTGTGACCTCGGACAAGTTACTTAACCTCTCTGAGCTTTAGGTTCTTCCTCTATAACCAGGGCTGCCTTCATGGGCATGTGACCTGTGCACACAGCCCTGCTCTTAGAAAGGCCTTATGCCTGCTTTAATGACCTGTGTTTGCTATCTTAAAATTTTTAATCATTTTTAAATAAGGTGCAGCATTTTCAGTTTGTACTGGATCCTGCTAATTGTGTAGCCAGTGTTGGTTATAAGACCCACCTCACTGGGTTACTGTAATACTCACTGAGATAATGTCTCCCACATGGGTTTCCCTTCCGCTGATCTGGTCGTAAAGATGAGTAGGATTTCAGCAGGGAGACAAAAGGATGGGAAGGGGGTATCAGGCAGAGGGGCCAGCATGGGCAAAGGCCTGAGAATGTGAAATTACATTCAGGGAAAGACAAATGCTCTGGGCCCAGGTGGGGGGTGGAGACCGGAGAGGAAACCAAAGAGGCAGGTTGGGGTCAGCGTGAAAGGGCTTCCAGTTCTTTTAAAGAGTCTGGACCTCAGCTTGGGGGCCCGTGAGCAGAGAGCGCTAGGAAGGGGAGGCAGATGGGCACCAAACACCAACACCCTTAGCCCACAGCTCAGCTTGGACTGGTGCAGATAATGAGCCAGGCAGCGGATGGCGTGGGCAGGAGCCCTGCTTGGAGGCTGCCAATATGGCGTGTTTGAGATGTTCGCTGTCGACACAATGGGAAAATGCTGTAGGTGTCAAAGCCAGCAGCGGCACTTGGGGACCTGGGGACTCTGGGCCTGATAAATAATGGAGCAGCCCTTCCCTTCATGCCTAGGTCTTTTTCAATGCTTTCAATAATTCATGCATTCCACATGGATTGAGAAGTTTCATAAAACATCATCTTTTTTTCTGAATCCTGGGCCAGTCTGAGCAAATCTGATAGCTTCATGCATTAGGTCTTAATTAGAAACATATATACACATGAGCCCATCCAGCTTTGTGAAATGTGCCTTGTGATGAAGTCAAGGAAAATGCCCAATCATGTCTCAGATGGGGGGTGGGGGCAGGTCCAGGCAGGCCCCTGGGAGGTGGAGGTGGGCGCCGGCTGCCTTGGGGGGGAAGGGTTGGCGGGGAGGGTCTGCAGGGTGTGCACTCCCCAGAAGAGAGTGTATATGTTGGTGCTCAGCGCCCTCCCTGTGGGAGGGGCTTCCTCCTTTGCCTAATGGAAGTCGGGCTCATCTAGAGGGCCTGCCTTGGCCAATGCAATGTAAGCAGAAGTGACATGTGTCACTTCCAGGGAAGTTCTAGGAGCCACTGAGTTCTTTGCCATCTCACATTCCCTGTCTTTGGGACTGTGGAGACATGAGGCAACAACCTTATGTGCTAGCACATTACTAGTTCCTATTTCTAGGTGAGGAAATGGAGGGTTTAAGATGTAATATGACCTAGAAATGACCAGGTTACAGTACTCGCAGGAGAATGGCACGTTCGGGAGCCATCTGCTCTGGCATCTCTCAGGCTGGGAGTGGGCACAGCAGCCAGAACCCTCAGGCCAGCTGCCAGGACCCAGGCACGCAGGGTCTGGTCTCAGCAGGGGAACCAGGGAGCTGTTTGGGGGTGACTGGGCAAACAGGAAGGCGGGGGTGACAGGGTCACTGGCTGTGAGGTATCCAGAGGTCAAGGAACACAGGACTTTAAGATGCAGGAAAATGAGTCTCTTTTTCCTCGGGGAAGCCTGGGTCACCACGTGATGTTTCTTGTCTAGCTGGCTGGCTGGCAGGGACCTAGAAGGTGGGCTGTGCTAAATTTCCAGGTGAGATTACTTCCTCACCTCCCCTTCCTCACCCATGGATTCAGCCCTATAAGTTCCCTCTTTCTCCTAGGACTTGGCCTTGCTGGTGGGGGAGGGGTCGGCAGGGACACTGGCTGTGCCGCACTGGGTCCCCATCACTCAGACCCCAGCACGTCTGTCCTCTCCCATCACCTCCCAGTTCCACCTGAGCCGTTTTCCATGCCCCCAGCTGACACTTCTCTTCAGCCCCCTCAGTGCCTCATCAGGCATCCACATGGGGCCTGTTGATAAGTAATTTCTTCTCTTCAGTTAGAATGTGCCCCCCCCGCCCCAACCTCTTGAGGCAGCAGAGTGTGAAGCCTGGTGAGTTCACACAGCCATTGCTGTCCCTGCGAGGTGACTGGCTGGCTGTTTGTATTCCCCTTGGCCCTTCTCCAAGCAGCACCCCCTGCTCCACTAAGTCCAGCTGTTCAGCCTCTGCTCTCCTGATTTGTCCCCTTGGCAACTCAATTACTGCTTATCCAGCAGTTCAAGGGCAGGGGAGCCCTTCAAAGGAATGAAGCCTCCTCTCCGTTTAGACTACGGAGAAGTGACTGGGTGTCACAGGAAATGAAGCTGAAATGAAGGCCCTGATGGGACTGAACATGGGGTGGCAGGCGTGGTCGAGGGGAAGAAAGAGACCTTGGCGGGGAAGGTCTGAGGGTGGCCCAGGAAGACGGTGCTCACCCAAGTCAGCACCTGGACAGCTCCCTGCAGGGCCCGGGAGCCAGATGCCTGGGGAGGATCTTTGCAAAAGGTGATTGCCGCCCTCGGAACCCTAGATTTTCCTTGTTCTCTACTGAAGCCTGTAAAAGCTGTCTGGTGATTCACCCCCTCGGGACTCAGGGAGACGCCTGTGTCATCTGATATGCTAATCCATGCCACCACTCACGGATTCCCAGGAGCTGAGGTGTTCAGTTGGCCAGGTGACACATCACAGTTCCTTAGAGCCCTCCCAGAGGTTCCGGCCACCAGAAGAGGACTGTGGGAGGATCTGTGCAAGCCCAGCACACTTCTGGAAGGCTCCAAGGGGGTGGGCAGGCAGCTCAGCTCTCCTGAGAAATAGGTGAGGCATCTGGTCACCTCACCTCCCGCAGGGCAGCTGCCATGTGACTGTCAGCGGCTGGAGGGGCGAGAGCTCCTACAACAAAGGCCCCAGAGCCCTGGTGGGTGGGCTGGGAGTGAGGAGAAAGGGAGGCCAGGAACGGAGACGTGAGCTCCTGTTTAAGCACTAAGAAAGCAGGTCCAGGCTCCAGGCACCTCCCCAATTACCTGGCTCCAGAGATGACAGAAAATAGTGTCATAAAGAGCCATTTCCTGGCTTTGAAGTTAATGAAACAAGCTTTGAAGAATAGGAGTGAGGGTGGTTTTCGAAGCAGGCTGCATGTGGGGAGGCAGCTGTGTGTGCCCCCGAGGACACAGATGTGCCCCTCCAGCGAGGACAGTCCCCTAGCCCTGGGCCAGCCCGAGAGGCCCCTGGGCTCCAAGATGGCTGGATCGGACCCCTCCCCTGGAAGAGACAAAGGCTTGAGAAAAGGGACAACATTCCTTGGGGCACTCTGGCAGGGGGATCAAAAGCATTGCAACTGTTAGGACCCTTTGACCCAGTAACCCCTCTTCCACGAATCTCTCTGTGTTCATCACAGCCTTACTTACTATGCACAGAAAGAGGAAACCCCCTCAACGTCCATGCCCACTATTTGGGGATCGCTGAGGATGAGTATGTTAGAGCCACAGGATGGAACATCGTACAGTCATTAAAAGTCAAGTTTTCAATGTAAGGGTACAAAAAGATGCTCACCATATCTAAATATCACTTATATATTTATTAGAGAGTTATGTGAAAATTTGGACACAAAAATATTTATATAATATGATCCACTTTGTGAAAAAATCAAATAATATACATAGACACATCGGGAAAAATAACTGCAAGGAAATATATCAGAGTGTTGGCCATTGTTAACTCTGAAAGAG